GCATAAAATCTGATTTGGATGCAGCCAAGTCTCTGGATAAACGTGGTTTTACTTTAAAGGTTATAAAACGGCAAATACTTTATAAGAAAATTATGTTAGTAATAATTTACCCTGTTCTGCAAATACGGGCCAAATTTGTAGCATTTTTGAACTGTAATTGGGGGTTGCTCAAAATCAGTCCAAGTGCCACAAAAGGCCCCCGGGCCACAGTTTGAACACCCCTGATTTAGGTTAATGATAGTGAAAGGAGAGTTTGACCTGATTGGCTGCGAATGGATCCATCTCCCAGTCCTTCTCTTCTGCAAACCGGAACTGAGTGAACGAATCCCCTGGAAGACAAACAGAAATAACTTCATGAGCATCAAACGATTTGTCAAAAATATCCGAAATGTTTTGGGAGTCAATCAGCATCTTTGTGTGAACCGATGGAGAGCGACAGCAGCGCCAACTTTTTATGACATTAACAGCAATAGCTCTAGTGTGCAACACTCCACAGACACCGAGAATGTTATTAATAAACAGAATCAGGGTGCTAAAAGTCACAATAAATAAATAAATAAAAGAGGAAACTTGTGTTTGAACGAGGCACAACGCTGCAGCAGAAAGCTCAGAGTTAAATCACAACATCCAGTACAACAAGGACACAGAGTCAGGTGTGAAGCACCACTCTGCCCACTTCGTGCTTCTGGTTATCTCGGCCGCGCTGCAGAAGGATGTCACTTTGGATGGAATAAAAGGCCGCCTGTGGGTATTTTTACACAACACGATGAAAGGCAAAAAGCAAGCTAAAAATTCTTAAATGCAAAACAGAAAGGCAACAGCAAGTCTTTTCTTTGAGGCAAAAGGAGAACAGAAACATTTTAGTTATTTAAACAAAACTGGGACACGTCTAAACCATAACAACAGCTAACAAATCTGAGAAAACAGAAGAACTGTAAGAAAACTGACAATATTAAGTATTGATCCTTTACACGTAAATTCACACTCTCAGAAACTCGGCCACGACCGAAAACAACCAATGCCCTCCACTTTATCATATTCAAAACCTCACCAAACTTGACCCAAAATGGCCCCCCGAGGAAAATGTTTGGATGGAGTCGCAAGCGGACGTGGCCAATCTGCTCTACAGCGCCACCTATCGCGAGTTTGGAAAAACCATACGTTGTAGAAATCTGAAACTCTATACGTAGGCAGATCCCCCCCATTTAGAAAAAAAGTCTGTTGACGGTACGCCCTAAGATGCACAGGGAGGCGGCCATTTTGGGTCAAATGTCAAATTTTACCTGATTTTAACTTTTACTTACGTCAAAGTTGAGCAAAGTCCTCCTAGGGATTTAAGGCATGGGGCATTAAAAGTTATCAAAAAAGATTGAGTTTATAAATTTAATAAATAATAAATTTTAACCTAGCCTTTGATGTGTAGCTGGCATCTGTTTGCAATTTGTCACACTTCCTGCTCCTCCAGAAACATCACACATTCTAGAACGAATAAACAATCTAACTGTTCATAAGGACAATGAATAGCGTTTATACAAGTTATTAATTTAAACCTATCACTCATGTTTTGACCGCGCTGCACCAAACTCACTGAAATCCATCCTTGTCCACCCTTTGACAGGAATTTGGTCCAATATTTAGACCAACTCCTCCACAACACACCCTAGAATATCCTTAAAAATTATCCACAAGCCACGATTTATCCAAGAATTATGAAACTTGGCACACATTTAAAAGAGGAGTTTGATTTAAGTCAAAATCCTAGTGGCCAAAACTACTTTAAGCAAACGAGAGCAGAGAAGACTTGGGCAAAAGGTCAACTAGAAAAGCCTAGTAAACCAACGATCGTCTTTTGGGACCGAACCGGAGAGAATCACTGATGTACTTGGAGAACATGCAAACCATGAAGGCAGAAGAACCCAGGCAGGGAGTCAAACCCAGGCAATCGTTCTATTCTCAAAGATAGATGTTTTAATCACAGTAAGCAAATTTAGAGCCAAATTAACTAACAGTTGTGATTTCAGACTGTGGCAGGAAGCCAGAGCGCCCGGAGAGAAACCTGCAAACAGGAAACCTGTCTTAATCTTTTTAGTACATGAATTTAGATAAGACCTGGTCAGATTTCTCCAGCCTCCAAATGGTCACTAATTGTATCTTTTTCAACTTCCTCAAAATCCAAATTCATTATGTTTGGCTCCTCTCCAAACGTGCCTTGGTCAGCTTGGAGAACTCAAAAAGGCCTGGGCGTTCACGGAAGACAACAGTGGTGGATGATCGCCGCATACTTTCTTTGGTGAAGAAGAACCCATTCACAACATCAACTGAGGTCCAGAACACTCTCAGAGAAGTAGGTGTATCTGTCTCTAAGTCAACAGTAAAGAGAAGACTCCATGAAAGCAAATACAAAGGGTTCACATGTAGATGCAAACCATTCATCAATTCCAAAAATAGACAGGCCAGAGTTAAATTTGCCCAAAAACACCTCAAGAAGCCAGCCCAGTTCTGGAAAAGTATTCTATGAACAGATGAGACGAAGATCAACCTGTACCAGAATGATGGGAAGAAAAAAGTTTGGAGAAGAAAGGAACGGCACATGATCCAAGGCACACCACATCCTCTGTAAAACATGGTGGAGGCAACGTGATGGCATGGGCATGCATGGCTTTCAATGGCACTGGGTCACTTGTGTTTATTGATGACATAACAGCAGACAAGAGTAGCCGGATGAATTCTGAAGTGTACCGGGATATACTGTCAGCCCAGATTCAGCCAAATGCTGCAAAGTTGATCCGACGGCGCTTCACAGTACAGATGGATAATGACCCCAAGCATACAGCCAAAGCTACCCAGGAGTTCATGAGAGCAAAAAGGTGGAATATTCTGCAATGGCCAAGTCAATCACCAGATCTTAACCCAATTGAGCATGCATTTCACTTGCTCAAATCCAGACTTCAGACGGAAAGACCCACTAACAAGCAAGACCTGAAGGCTGCGGCTGTAAAGGCCTGGCAAAGCATTAAGAAGGAGGAAACCCAGCGTTTGGTGATGTCCATGGGTTCCAGACTTAAGGCAGTGATTGCCTCCAAAGGATTCGCAACAAAATATTGAGAAAAAACTTTTTTGTTTGGGTTATGTTTATATGTCCAATTACTTTGAGCTCCTAAAATGTGGAGTGTTTGTAAACAAATGTGTACAATTCCTACATTTTCTATCACATATTTTTGTTCAACCCTTTAAATTAAACGTTACAATCTGCACTTGAATTCTGTTGTAGAGGTTTCATTTCAAATCCAATGCGGTGGCATGCAGAGCCCAACTCACGAAAATTGTGTTACTGTCCAAATATTTCTGGCCCTAACTGTAAATATCGGTTTGGTGCATCTCCAAAACAAACTATTTTGAATAAAGCGGAATAAATAAAACGTTTTTGTTTGATTTGTAGTGAATAAATCCGTTTTGTTTTAGCTCAGATTTGGCCATAGAAACAAGTGGAAAAAAATTTAACAATGAAAATAAAAAGATTTCTGAAGGAAAAAACTTTATAGGATTTAAAAACAGGCAGGAAGTGACCTTGATGTAAAGGTGTATACATGATGTATATAGTTGTATATTAAATATCTTTTTTATATAATATTTTCTGTTTAAGATGATGCATACTTAAAATTACATACATTGAAAATACCAGCCAAGGAATTAAAGCTGCAGCTTATAATTATGTTAGAAATAATACTGATTATTCTGATGCTTAATCGAGTTATATTGTCAAAAAATTAATTTAACCATTTATTTTATTTTATGCAATATCATAAATACAAATAATTAAATTAAAACAAAAAAACAAAAGTGTTTTATTTCCTAAAAGAGTTTTAGAGCATTTGTACATATGTAAAGATAAAGAAGATAAAAAATATGCAAAATGTACATATTTTTTCCTTACAGTTTCGGCTTAATTCTTGCTCCAATGGTGTTTATACTCCACTTAACAATTATTCATTTACTGAAATACTTGACAATTATGTTAATAATGGTCAATTAATTCACTAAAATGAATTACAGGAAATGATGACCTGCGTCAGAATCTTACTTTTACAAATTCACAACATGTTTGAACATCAGCTGAACGAAACATAAAATTATTTTGAAAGTGGCCCTATTAAGGATAAAAGGAATATTTTAAAAAAAATAATTTTTTTACATTATTTTCACTGAAACCTCGTTTTTCAAGGTGGTAATCAATATACAACTGGTTGAGTCAATGAATGGATTCAGTTTTTTTGGTATTATTTTCCAGGTGCCTTTTTTTTTTTAATTCATGCAGCTGCTAATGAAATGTCTGCAACAGTATTGAAGAAATATGTTGTTAATATATTAAGGAAAAACATAAGGGGGGAGGGGTTCTGAAATCAAGAATTACTGATGTTAAAGACATTTTTTGCAATTATTTTGTTATTGCAATAATATTTTTTTAAATCTCAAGCTATGTTTACATGTATGAGAGCCTGAGGGCCAGTATAAAAAAAGAAAAAAACATTTCAACCAAAGTAACTCAGATATTTTCTAAAAGAAACCCAAGAAAACTTCTGAATTTGAAAAGTTTAAAATTTGCTTGACAAAAATTCTAATTTTGAGATTTTTCTGGAAAAAAATTATGCAATTTTCCAAGTTTCAAAAATTTTAAAATTTTGCCTTTTGAAACTGAAGTTTTTATGGGTTTTTTTCTAGAAAATGTCTTAGATCAATATCAAAATTTCAGTTTTTCTACCAAAGCTTCAACTTTTCAGAATAAGAAATGTCCTTGTATTTTGTAGAAAAAGTCACATCTTTTTTCAGGTAGATATTTACTCTGTTTTTCTTCAATATGCACTAATTCTGCCTGGAAACTGCTGATATTTCCATTTGTTGATCGACAAAAAGTTTCATATTTTGACACCTTGAATCAGCTGTAGTAGTCATGCCACACCACTAGATGGCACTATGCTTTTACCGTGCCATCCAACGCTAAGTAACTTTAGCCGCTTAGCTTTGAGATTACTGTAACCAACGGCTCATTTCTGTCTTTCATGAAAGAAATGCTCATGTAACATATATTCCTTGTCAGGAATTAAAGGTAAAAAGTTAAACCGAACAGGTTAAGTCGGCGTCGGCTTAGCCCTCGTGCGGAAGTAGCGCAAACCTCCAACTAGCAGCGTCGCAACGGAAGAGGCAGTGGACATTTTTTCCTGATAAACTGCCACAGAAGCAAGAAGGACAGGAAAGAAAATTCTTTAACAAGTCCTACATCAGGTATGAAAAGTTATTTGAAGGAAACAACGAAGACATCAACATTAAAGCCCAAGCAATTTCCAGCCACAGGAAGAATGAAGCCATGTGAAAGCTGTCATTGGATGTGAAAGCTGTCATTGGATGTGTCATATCAATTGTTTATGTTATCAGCCTGTGCGTGCACAGAATAAACCCTGGCTCCTCTTTATGCGCATGTGCATCTTAAGATAAGGTAGATATTTATTAGTCTCCAATAGGACAAATTCATTTTGGAAGCAGGGGCGAAACTGCAATACAACAATGAAAAGCCCATTCAAAAAGGCAGAAACCATGAGTAAATACATAGAAGACAAAAATAAATAAATAAATAAAATAACATAAAAACAAAAAGTCAGATCTTGACACTTCCAGTGGTGTTAAAGAAAAGTTTCACTCTGAAACCTGGTTTCCAAAAATGCCGATGTGAACTCCAGTCAGTGGTATCGTGTAATTTCAACAAAAACGTTACGGTTGAACTGAAGAGCTGCAGGGGCCTTGATCTCAATTTATGACATATATCTGGATTTCTTTACATGGTCTAGATAGCAAATTTTTGTCGCTATTTGTTTCTCAAATTTCTGCATCAATCATCTTTGACTTTTTAACATACCAGAAGTTTATTGGTGATTAAATTTCATGATGGAGAGACTTTTTTAGAGGAAGAGAGAAAATGAAATGCCATATGATGCAAACCACTAAAACCACATCTGTTTCTGCAGAACCACTGTTCAGATGTAATCTTATCTTGTTGAGTGGGTCAAGGTTTTTGTTCTGCTCTTGGGACTTGCCTTGGACTCCAGGTTTGGTACTGGCAGTTTTAGATTTCTGTTTCTTATTTCTGTAAATGCTACATTTCTCATAAACAGGATTTTCTTTGGTAATAAAAATATTCTATCCACCACTCATAAATCACAACTACAGTATGAGGACATGTCTCACCATGTGAGAATCAGCAAAAAAAAACAAAACAAAACAAAACAAAAAAACAGGCAGCAACACAGAAATGTAGATAAACAAAATAGTTTGTTTAAACAGGGCTGGTGAAAACACATTGAGCTACTATTAATGTAAAAAAAGCATTATCACTTTCTGTTGAGTTTAATTAGACTTTTTCTTAGCATTAAGATGTTTTTTTTTTGTTTTTTGTTTGTGTGTTAATCAAGAATTCATTTGGGTTAAATTTGTGCCATTAAAAACAACACTAGATTCTTTATAAACAAATGTAATGAAGACTTGACACGGCTTAACAATGCATATAATAAATATTGACGAAGTGTTTAACCTATCAGTGCATGGGTCTTAAGTATCGCCTCGTGGTGTTTTAATAACGTATTGCATCCAGCTGTGTTTGAGCTTCCTCGGGTCAGTACCATCCACGCCCCATTGCCAACCCCGGCCTGTAATCCTGACTCTTGTAACCAGGCCATCTGTGCCCTAGTGATTGCTCCTATTTGTAACAGTAAAATCCCACTGTGACCTGTGCAGACAGTACACCCTATCATTCAGCTCCCCTCACAGTAACTCTGTTTACACTCAGTGTGTTGTGATGTTTATGTAGCTGTACAGCTCTTGTTTGGGTCTGACTGTTAGGACAAAGTCAATGCTAACACAGCTGAAAGCAAGTGTTACTGTTTATGTACAAGCTATGTTAGCAAAGCAGCACAAGCAGCAGGTACAGGACATGAGAAAAGCAGTTTGTAATTCTTCTTTGTGTCAAAACAATGACTCAACTGACTATTTGTAATCTCTCATGTGATTCAGGTCATTTCGCAACTACGTAGTCACAGAGGATTATCGAAGTGGGCCTGCGAACAGGTGCTTCAGCGATGGGGTGAGTGCTCGCATTGTTTGCGTTTGCAGCGCTGAAATAAACTAAAAGCTCCACTAAAATAAGTATAACTGAAGCTGCAGTCAAACTTGCAGCATAACTAATAAAATAACCAAAGGAGGAGGCGCAAATACGACCATATCACTTCTGTTCTTCATTCACTTCATTGGCTACCGATCAAACATAGAATACATTACAAACTCTGTCTGCTCACCTATCAATGCATCCATGGAACTGCTCCTGCTTATCTCAGTGAACTCCTCTCACCGCACGCTACCTCTCGAAGTCTTCGTTCCTCCACCTCCTTCTACTGCCTACATCAACCTAAGACCAAACTAGCCACTATGGGGGATAGGGCTTTTCAGGCAGTAGCTCCGAGGCTCTGGAATGCCCTTCCAGAGTCCCTGAGAGCCCCACAAGGTGTGGAGGCCTTCAAAAAAGGTCTTAAGACTCACCTTTTTAAACAAGCCTTTTAGAACTGTAAGTTTTATTTTAAATTGTTAGTTTTAATGTTTATTTTGGTACCACTTGGTGTGATATGTATTATTTTATGTTTTACTGTAAGCTTTACAATTGTACTTTTTTAGTCTCTGTAGCACTTTGAGATTTCTTTGAAATATAAGGTGCGTTACAAATAAAATTTATTATTATTATTATTACAAAGATAAATCGAATATAATGGTCAACTGCCAAAACATTTTCTGGGGTTTATCAACTGTTTTAGGGTCATTTTGATTTGCCGAATCCAAAAATCACGTTGGTTTTGCTCCATCAGATCAACCTTCTGAAAGTATAGAGCAACATGAGCATCAAAATGCATGACTTGTTCTCACATATGGATCAGTTTCCTGATAATCTGGGATCAATGAGTGATGAGCAGTGAGAAAAATGAAGATGTAATGTTCAATTTACATGTACTTGTTTATTACTCAATTTGCAGAAATCCACGTTGGTAACATTTAATTAATAAATTATATTTTTTTCATTTCTCCTAAAAACTTTTTTGGATGAGAAATATAAAATGTGTCATCAATTTAATGAGAAAATCAGATTTCTATCAATCAAATTAGAATACAAACCTGATCTGATTGAGAAAATAGATGTCATTTTTGGATTCAACGGCACAAAATAGTCCTATTTCAGTAAAAAACATAGACAACATCCCAAAAAAAATTCTTTGTAACCCAGTGTTATTATGATGAATACATGAACAAAATTTGACATGTGAATTATGTTAGTTTTGGGCCAAATCCAGATCATAAATGCTGTTAAAGGGCCGGTTGTGCCAGAATGTACTGATAAAACCTGTTCACACACTGTTAAAATAATTGAATCCTTAAAATTAAATAATATTATTGAACATCTTTTCAGTCCTACCAGGATTTTGTGATTTTTTTGCAATAAAAATCAGTGTTTGTGCTACTAATTTGGAAATATTTGCACTTATTTATGACTTTTTACAGCTCGCAGTAAAGATCATGGACTATAATCTGACATCAGTTAAGGCTGAGGCAGCTGTTTATTACAAGTCAGAAAGCTTTTGACAATTTTTGACAAAAATCTGCACTAAATTTCCAGTTTTTAGTGCAAAAAGTGCAAGGATTTGTTGAGATGTGTGAATTTCCACTATAATTTTCAAGAAACTGGAGGGACTGATTGATATAATTTGGCAGCAAACAGATAAAAACTGCCTTGATTGGACTGATAACATAATACCACTTGGTGTTTAGTCTAGAAGATACAATGAGCCAGATTTGGCCCACGGGCCTTGAGTTTGACACGGGTACTTTAAATGTACTCTCTCTATAAACATATTTTCTCGTACAGAACTTTTATTTTTCACTGATTTGATTTACCTTGATGGGATGCAAGAGGAAAGTGTGACCACATCCAACTTGGACTCCTTAATAATCACAGTTTTAATTTTAAACATCAGTTCAAAACAATCATGAAACTCTCCTAACATTAAGCATTTAAAGACTAATATGGAAAAAATACCAATGTTTACAGCTATAGAAGCCTTTTAAACCTCTCATCTAATTCTGTCTGACTTTAAAACGAGCCCGTCTTGATTTATCACCACGTGTCTCCTCTTATTCGATTGCTACGTTTGCAAGTTCTGGAACATATTTTTCTAAAATTATGTTTTCTAAGCTGTCCATCCTGTCTGGACTGGCAGTAAAAGCTAAACTGTGTACCAAGACGAGAAAACATTTGAATGGAAGAGCTTTTTTAGAAATGAATTAACAATCAAACAATAATTAGTTGCAGACAGACTACTAAAACATTTTCTCCCAAGAGCTACAGTGCACTGTTTTTTTTTCTTTTTTTTTTAAACACGCTCCCCTTGCAGAACAAAGACTGGGGAAATAGTCATCTTTGGGGAATTATAGTTGATGTCTGGTATTCTTTGGCTTGGGTATTTGGCCGTTTCAGTAATAGGACTGAGATATCCTCAAGGACACTGGACTTGAAGTTTGTGCACATTTGGTTCTGGTTGTTCCAAAAACAATGGAAACCAGAATTTGTATTCATGATTAAAACGAGTGACTGATCAGCAGCACATACACACACATATATAATATGATTTCTGTGACCCATTTCTGCTTTGGAAAAATAAAATGACAAACAAAAACATGATTTTCATTTGTGATAAACACAGATACAGTTTCTGACCTACTTGCATACGACCTGAATCTGTATTTGTTCTCAAAATTCTCAACTTTCATCTGTTTTCATGATGGTTCTGGCATTCGCTGTCGACTTTAATGAACTCTTTGCTGTTTGCATTTGTGTGGTCTTCCATGACAACAATTTGTCTGCATTACTGGCAGCAACGACTCCAGGGACCACAGTGGATCCCTGTCAAACATTTTGAACCACTTGGAGTTGAAATTACGACTCGAGTGGTTCGCTCTGCAGTGTGTGCTGCGGTATCCCATCTGAAGCACAATGGCAATCTGTTCTTTTCATGATTTCATCGACATGATATGATACTGAAAGATTGGCTTGTGAAATTCTAAACAGATTAGAAAAATTTATGATAGCGTTGTCCTTGCATGGTCTACTTTGGAAGCTTTGTGGTGACGCAAACGGCCTCTTCTTGGAGTAGAAGCTGCAGGATGTAAAGGCTTTAGTGACATGTTTGAGAATGCAGCTTTCCTTTTTTATGTAAGTTTTACTAGAGGTAAAACTTAACTGGTAGACTTGTGATGTTTTGGTGTAAGAGGGCTCTAGATATAGAATCCTGTTTAGTTGGCTTTATTCAAACTCTTAAGTCATTTGCCTAGAAAGTCTGGAACTCCGATGAGAACCAAAACAGCGATCTCCATAAAAAACAGGTTTCGGTTCGGTTCAAGTGAACTCTGGTGCTGTTCGAATGCATATATGAAAACCAAGTGGGCTGGAGATTGCTCAAAAGGCAGGAAGTGGACTACAGAGCAGGACATTCTGGTTAAATACAAACAAAACAAAAGTGCAAGTCCAGCTAGCAGGAGAAATGTTTCATGGTCGTTTGCGATAGTCTAAAAAGAAAAACTACAAAAGCCAAAATTTGAAGCCACTTTAGTTTTATGAAGACAGAAGTTACACTCGCTGTCTTCTTCAGAGATTTTCTTGTTGTTTCTTTCAGTGGTTCTTGGATCAGCGCCCCCGACAGGCGAGGAGGGGAACAGCTTGTTCAAATGTTTTGAACAGCGAAAAGCAAAATGCACCAGCTGAAATGTCACAATTGAGCTAAATCTACCAGAAAATCAAGTCTAAAGACATCCTCAATCAAGCTTGTGATCTCCAATTTCAAAGAACTCTTTCTACCACAACCCAAAGTTTTTATTTTAGTTTACCTCACTGACCGGTTTCAACTGTATGTATAAAAGTTAAAGCTGTGTACTTTCAGCACATTAGCATCATTTGCAATGTTTAAATTTGAACAAGTATCAAAAGAAATGACCCAATTCTTTATGTACTCAAATTATTGTCATTCCGTATGTGATAAATTTTACCGAGTGGACTACTGAGCCACAGTGTGATTTTAGATTGGGTCTTCATCTGGTTGGTGTTTTTTTTTTTGGGAAAACAACAATGATCCGATTCATATTCTTGACTGACTGTCAATGAAATCAGTGATGACACATTTATGACCGATTTTTACTGCAAATCTGCAGAGCACTTGTCAGTCAGAACATTATGATACTGGCAACCAGTATCATACTGAAGCTGCTCAAACCACTTTTTCAGTCTTCACTCATGCGCTGAAGTATCTGCAAAAACACACAACTCTGCTCATCCAAAAGTTTTGCTGTCCTGAATCTGCATCCAACATTTTAAATCCTGTGATTGGTGTCCCTCGCTTTAAAAAATTTTCTTTCAAGACTGCTTCAGTTTCAAAAAGGATAAATAACATTTGTTTTATGGCTTTCATTTGAACCATGTGAGACTTTAAATAAATCTCTGTCTTTCGCAAGACATTGACTGTGTTGCCTTAAAGATGATTGTGATATTAATCTTTTTGGACAAGCGTTAAAACTTAATTACAAGGCGTCTTGCGCTAAAGTTCGGCATGCCTTAGCAGAGCCATTTGTTATCCATTTAAATTACAGCACATGCAAAGCACAGATATATTCAATTATAACTGTTGCCATTGCACGCAACATCTTCTGTCTGATTATAATTAGTTCTGTGTTGGTTTTATTTTTTTTATTTAAATTCGGTTTCAATTTACTGTGGTGTGTTTTTAGTTAAATTGACAAAAAGGCTAGAGTGTCCATCTTTTCTGTTGTTTTAGATAATAGATTCTCCACTCTTCACTTCATTGTTTATTTTCAAATGATTCAAATTACTGGGAACCCTTGTGCCTCTGAATTTAAAAACATCCCCCAGACTAATTCTCTGTTTGCTAAATGCCAGAGTAATAAGAGATGAAGTTTTAATTAATATTGAATTGATTTAAAATGATCAAGATCATGTTTATACAAGATATCAGGCCATCATTCAGGAGGTTTCAG